TGAGTATGCGGATGATATTGTCTTACTGTGCGATAATGCCCAAGGCATGCAATCCGCACTTAATCAGTTGGCAATCAGTGTCCGCAGGTACGGCATGTGCTTTGCACCCTCCAAGTGCAAAGTACTCCTATAAGACTGGCAGAATTCTAATCCTGTACTCACCCTGGATGGTGAGGAGATCGAAGTAGTTGAGAAGTTCGTGTATCTAGGTAGCTATATAAGTGCTGGTGGTGGCGTGAGTGATGAGATTGATGCACGTATAATGAAAGCCAGAGCGGCTTATGCCAATCTGGGCCATCTTTGGCGCCTTCGTGATGTTAGTCTGGCTGTAAAAGGTCGGATCTACAACGCGTCGGTGAGAGCAGTTTTGCTCTATGCTTGTGAAACCTGGCCTCTCCGAGTTGAGGATGTTAGACGACTCTCTGTGTTCGATCATCGTTGTCTCCGAAGGATTGCTGACATCCAGTGGCAACACCATGTTAGTAATGCAGAGGTTCAGCATCGTGTGTTCGGGCACAGAGACGATAATTCAATTGGTGTCACCATCTTGAAACACCGACTTCGGTGGCTTGGATATGTTTTACGAATGTCGTCCCAGAGACTTCCACGTCGTGCATTATTTGCCGACACTGGGACTGGTTGGTAAAAGCGGAGAGGAGGTCAGTGTATGACATGGTGTCGTGGCATGAAAGAAAGCTGCAAAGGGCTAGCTTCTGTTGGACCTTCACGACTCCCTGGCTGGGGTCCGAGAGATGGTGCAACACAGTGGCTAGAGACGTTATCAGATATGGCTCAGAATAGAAGCCAGTGGCGATCCTGCTGCAACCTCTTTTTACTTTCTACACAAAGAATGGTTCTAACTTTCCTAACTGAAAGAGTCTTCTGGTTGTACATTTCAGTCCGCCTTATCTTTTCATCCATTCTCTTCCTACTTTCATTATTTTGTGTGGCGCATATGTACCTGGTGCCCTTTTGTACCAATATATATGTGTTTAAATAAATAAATAAATAAATAAATAATAAAACTTCTCACTGCCTGCAAGGTCACCAGGATTCTATCTAGGTAGTGTTGATATGCTAACAGACACTAGCAAAAACTTGAATATCCTTTGTCTCATTTTCCTACGTTTTTTATATCCAGTACAAAGACTGACAAACGATGTTTTTTACTAGTCGTTCTCACGCAACATACACAAAATATATTTCGATTACCAAATCTTATATTTTTGGATAACAATACTTATTATTTATTTTTGATATTGAGTTCAAAATGTGTATCTTTGGAATTCAGAACTAATTACACTGTCTCCTGCCCCCAAATGCCCTGGTACGGCCGAGAGTAAGGAGAGTCACCTCTCCCTTTCGAAATACTCTCATATAGCCAGCGAATATATAGCCTCTGCCAGGGAAGTCCTACTCACTGCCTTCTCGTGGCGGGGGTGTTGTTTACGAAAGTAAGAGGACGAAAAGCGAATGTCCGGCGCTTTAACCGGATTGGTGGACACGGAGGGTCCACCTAGGGGAGTTGGAAAACCCTGATTCCAAACCAATGGTGCACATGGGCTTCAGTATCCTGAAGGAACAAATGGCGTACGAATCAATCGTTGGTCACCGACTACCATGTGACTGCATCTCCTCACGATGCTCCACTGCCTTGTGGATCAGACCTTTTGGTCAAAGGCTCGGGGTGTGGCCCCCTAAAAAACCACCTGCTTCAGTCTGGGCACCTGGGCAGTATCACAGCCCTCACACAAATCGAATGAGATTTGTGAGGCGCACATTTATCTGGTGCTTCATTGTACCAATATTTATGTGTTTAAATAAATAAAAAAATAAAACACTGTCTCCTATGACTTTGGAAATCTCATGAAATTCACATCTAAGAGATCAATTTTTTATTAGGACGGGACAAAACCCTTCGAATAAAAGCGTCGTACATGACATTTTGTGACTACTTTTATATGAGTGAGAGGTCGATTGTAACGTGATTTTTATTGTTTGTTAGTTAATGTTGTTTTTACATCATTAGCATACGTACAGATATGTAGATAAAGTTATCATCCATTTACATTTTTATTTATTTATTTATTTAAACACATAAATATTGGTACAAGGAAGCACCAGATAAATATGCGCCTCACAAATCTCATTCGATTTGTGTGAGGGCTGTGATACTGCTCAGGTGCCCAGACTGAAGCAGGTGGTTTTCTTAGGGGGCCACACCCGGAGCCTTTGACCTGAATTTCTAATCCACAAGGCAGTGGAGCATCGTGAGGAGATGCACTCCCATGGTAGCCGGTGATCAACGGTTGATTCGTACGCTATTCGTTCCTTCAGGATACTGGAGCCCATGTGCACCATTGGTTTGGAATCAGGGTTTTCCAACTCCCCTAGCTGGATCTTCCACATCCACCAACCCGGTTAAAGCGCCGGACATTTGCTTTTCGCCCTCTCACTTTTGTGAACAACACTCCCGCCACGAGAAGGCAGTGAGTAGGACTTCCGTGGAAGAGGCTATATATTCGCTGGCCATGTGAGAGCATTTCGAGAGGGAGAGTAGACTCTCCCCACTCTTAGCCGTACCAGGGCATTTGGGGGTTATCCATTTACATTACTTCTGTACACTATTAATCCATGCGCTTCTGAGTCTTGTAAAATTAATTCACACTTCCGTGATATAGAGCTATGTCATTTAGTTGTACAACCCAATTAAGGATGGCTATTACACCCTTCTGGAAAAGAAAAAAGCTTTTGCTGAGTGCGCGACTAAAGTACTAGATAAAGTAAAGTAAACAAACATATCAGTACTTTACCTTGTTATATTTTGTGTTAGGACTTCGATTTATGTGGCGCAGACAGATACTTTAACAATCTAGACTTTCCTATCACATTTGAAAACTTTGTAACCACTCAAAAGCGTTGAAAGCTATGGTGAATACACCAGTATGGGATGTGGTACTGCCAGTCAATCAGTATGTTACAACGTAGGATCAGACACATATATGCATCCGTACAAGTTTCCACACTTCATTAGCACAACAAGGTGAACACCAGATTCATTGAAGTAGTTACTTCAATGATAGTCATGTATAAAAGAAAGATTGTGTATAAGGAAATAATACAGGAAGAAAGAATTAGTTCATAGAAAGAAAAGTATAAAGTAATTTTAATCTCACAGTTTAAGGGATGACAGTGTGTGTATATAAACCTAGGCTACTGTGATCGATTCTAAGCCATGTCACCTAGAGTCTCCAACCATTGGTTTCGATAACCACGCGGACCCCAACCAAGTAGTCTGCATCTGCCAACATGACTTGGACCGGAAGTTAGTGACTTCATGGAATGATGCCAGGTTTTGGTTTAGCCGCCCCTAACTCTATTCCAACCACCACCAATACTAGTCAGCATAGCACGTCGTGGTAAACGGTGTTCGGGCTTACGTAACACACGTGGCCCTACCATCTCAGTCGATGAAGATTCATCACCTCATCAACTGATTTACCATCATTCCCTAGTACCCTGCGTCTAACCTCACTATTACTTACCCGGTGATCCCAGCAGATGCGAGCAATATTTCTAAGACATCTGTGATCAAATACTGGTAACTTGCTAGTATCTTCTACTCTTAATGGTCACGTTTCGCAGCCTTAAATTAGAACAGAACGAACTGCTGCTCAGTATACTTGTCCTTTAATTGGTACTGCCGCAAACATGCATCACATGTTTGTATAGAATACACACTTCCAGGGCATATACACTACAGTACATATATAGGGATTAATGCGCGCCTTCATAGGTATACATTACATGTATATATATAATGCATAGACCGAGGTCTGCACACTTAATATACACATAAGTTTAGACGCGATTCACTCCAGGTCGTAGCCCACATGTTTCAACAACACTGAAGAAATAACAAGTAACCAAGTCATTTGGGTTGTAAGTAATCATTTGATGATATGTTCTCATAATGTTTATATCACAAAAAAGTTTCTAGAGTAAATCCGGTCAAGCGTCTAAAGGAAATTTTTCTGTAGTGCTACCTTTTGCTTATCCATACAAAGGAACGTCCTTTCTGTTAATCAGAACGTAAGACAGTGAATGATTATCTCTGTCTCTACTTGACCGCCTGTGTTAGCTCATTAATAGAATTCACCAATTCCGGGCACCGCAGACATGTGCGGGTCGGTCTTTGCTCTGACACGATGTAAATATTTCGACTTTACCAACATGTTGTACACCGAAGTAGTAGCGCTCTTCTAGTTAAAGTTAAGAATTCTTTCCATATTTAGATGCTTACGGAATTCTACTGATGGAGTATCTATAAGGAATTCGGGAGTTCAAAAAACCGTACATATTACTATTGCTGATTAGGAGTGATAAAATAGGTTGTTTTGTGCCATCCCGTTACCAAAAATGTTTTTCTGAAGGGCTTTGTAGGTTTCAGTGAACTTTCTAACCACAACCCTCGTTTAACAAATGATGGGAAAACATGGTCCTGTCTAGCGAATTAAAGTTTGTAGTGATTTCGGGTTTTTTGACACATAATATTTGATAGCAAGTGAACATATGGATGTACTATATGAACAGAGACCAGCCTACCTCGCCGTCCTGGAATTTTTCATAATCTGCGTAATATGTTATTATCTGATAATATTCAAAGTGTAGTTAGTGGAGGACCTACAACGTTATGGTTACTTTATATATTTTAAGGATGGTTTTCGCAACCACATCCTAAAGTGGGCTTAAATTCTCCGTCCTGTGACTAGAATTTTGTATATACAACCTTGAATTAATCCACAGGTGTTATTTATTTCCGGTAATTACTGTATTATTACGGTAAAAGTTTTTCCCTTCATATTCCATTATAGTTCATTGTGTGCATATTTTATGATCTTCTGCAATGTATTTTCTGAGTTTTGTATTATTTATTACATCTCAAAAGAGTCAGTTACTGTTTATTAACTTGAAGGTATGTACTTCTAACTTAATTATAGTCCAAAATTCGTATACTAACTGTTTTTGGTGCTGGTCTACTTTTGGGCGCTGCATTAGTCGTGGTCATTCCTGAAGGCATAGCAGTCATTTGTAGTTCGCATAAACATCAACATTCTAACCTTATTTCGAATAAAGATAACCACTTAAATCTGCCGAATTCACGTGTAAGTCCTGAGAAAATCTTTTTATAATCACAAAGAAGTTTTGTATGTAAAACAATTTCTTGCTCGAATGCTTAATCTGTTTTACATGATAAACTCAATATCAAAATGCCGATTCACTTCCTAAAGGATGACTAAAGGTTCAATCTTGTGTTAAATCTTGAAATTAGCTGACTAAGCTTTAACGCTATGATGTAATGGATAAGAATCAAATGTTAGACTGCTAGACTACATGTTAGCGGGACATAGATTGGATTAAAGCATGTTTCATGCATGATGGTGTTGCTGCGCGCTGATTGGCTAATTCTGAACCAATCAGCCCTGGCAAATTATTGGAGAAAAATCTAGAAGCTTCTTATGTATATACTATAAATATATGAACGTTATTTAAACTAGTGATTGCTGTTCACATACCATTGTTATTTTGAATACAAATTCATTCCTGTTGAACGTGTTCTGATTTTTGGGGTCTTGTTGAGTGTCATCGTATAAGAATACTAAGCAATAGGAGTAGCCGGGTCGTTTATATAACAAAAATACGATTATAACACTACATATTAAAGACTTGATTTATGCCTTGATTGTGAAAAATGGTACCCTACATCTTTAAGTGTAACTGTATACCAAAATAAGTCGGACTGACATTAACAGCTTAAGTTTTACAGTTTGGAGCTACCATAAATTAAACTAAAAGGGTTGATCTATTGACAATATAATCAATCTGAAACCAATTTTCACGTATTCTATCGAACTATAATGGCGATAAACAATTTATATATATTCGCTCATGCACTCACTTCATATACCATATTGGATTTTAAAGGCTATTCAAAATTTAAAAAAAAAAACAACTTATTCCTGTGAAGTTATAATTCAAATTAAATAATTGAGTTATACAACTAATTTAATAGAAATCAAATAAATTTATATAATTTGTGCAAGGAAAAATTGTAATAGATCAAGAATATTGATTTAATTTGTGAAAGGCACAAATCAATCGAGAAGACTTACAATTCAAATGGTGTTCGAAAATAGAGTTCGATCATATTCTTAGATCTCTTAAGAAGTTTGAACTTCCAAAATAACGATTTTCCAAACCATGAAAATGTAAAAAAAAAAAAGCCTTTTGATAAACTTTGAACCACCGAAAACTATTAGTTGTGAATAGTAAGAAGCGTCAGTCAGTTCTTGTTATGTGTTGGTTAATTCAATGTTTGGTAAATTGTGATCTGCACTTAGGATAATTATTTTTAAATAAATTCAACCGAATCAGTGTCTGTTATCTTAAAAAAGCTTACTACTCTGGAATTATCTAGCTTTATCTTTACGTGCGGAATATTCTTTTGTGTATAGTTCCTATTAGTTTCTACAGTAATAAATCTACACGAATAGTTACATACGCCTGTTACCTTTCATGAAGGAGCTTAGGCTGCTCACCAGCATTCCCTATCGAAATTTGTCCTGTGGAGTCCTTTCCAGTTGTTTCCAATTGCTATTAATCCTTTTAATGTCTGCCTCCATATGCCCACTCAATATGTTCTTTGGTCTTTCTCATTTCATTTTCCATTAAGAATTCCAAGTTAGGGATTATCTCGTGACGCATTTTGATAGTTTTCACAATGTATGTCCTATCTACTACCATTGTCTTTTCATAATTTTCCCCATTTGGAAGCTGGTTTTGTTTTCCTACAGTAGGCTGTTGCTGAAGGTATCCAATCAATGGACGGACATTCGGTATCTTACGTAGACAATTGTTTATTAATACTTGTACTTCTTTGATGATGGTTGTAATAGTTGTTCAAGTTTTTTAATTAATAATTACACATTTTTATGCTTACTTTTGATATATTATACTATGAAATTGTACAATGTTTTGGATTTCACCTGGGTTCGAATCTCGCGAGGCGGGATCGTGGATGCGCACTGCTTAGGAGTCCCATAATAAAACGAAACGGCCGTCCAGTGCTCCCAGGTTTAGCCCCCAAATGCTCTGGTACGTCCGAGAGTGGGGAGAGCCCGCTGTACCTCCCCAAATGCTCTCACATGACCTCGCGTATATAGCCTCTGACAAGGAAGTCCTACTCACTGCGTTCTCATGGCGGGGGTGTTGTTTACGAAATTGAGAGGACGAAAAGCGAATGTCCGGCGCTTTAACCGGGTTGGCGGACACGGAAAGCCCACCTAGGAAAGTTGAAAAACCCTGATGCCAAACCAATGGTGCACATGGGCTCCATGATCCTAAGGGAACAAATGGCGTATGAATCAATCGTTGGTCACAGGCTACCATGGGACTGTATCTCCTTACGATGCTTCACTGCCTTGTGGGTCAGAATTTTAGGTCAAAGGCTCGGGGTGTGGCTTCCTAAGAAAACCACCTGCTTCAGTTTGGGCACTTGGGCAGTATCACAGTCCTCACACAAATCGAATGAGATTTGTGCGGCGCATATATATCTGGTGCTTCCTTGTACCAATATTTATGTGTTTAAATAAATATATAAATTTCACCCTTATTAAAAGATACTTTTAGAGCATTATTTTGCGTTCATCTCTCTCTCTTTCTGTTTTTATTGGTCTTCATTTTGTAGAGATTGAATATGGTAGATACAATCGAATTGACAAATGATAAAAATCTTCCATCATCAATAAATAAAGATAATGATCCAATGAAACAACCAAATAACATTGAACATGAAAAAATTCATGCTTCAAATGAAGATCATCATGATCGCGATCATTCTCATAATGATCATGATAATAGTAGTAGTATTTATATACATCAAAAAGTTGGTATTTCATTATTATTAGGTTATTTATTTATGTTATTAGTTGATCAAATGAGTTATACTATATTAGAATTAACATGTTGTCAAACAATGTTATTTGGATTGAAGAAATTATGTTATCATTCTATATTGTATATACCATTAATGAATAAATTGAATCATGATACTGGTACAATTGTTAATAATACAACGAATACAACTTCTTCTTCTAATAACATGAATTGTACTAATAATCCTAATAATCTAGTCAATGAAACATCCAACAGTAATAATTGTTCATCTATTGGTTCAATTCAATCAACTAATCATAAAGGATTAATTGTTACATGTGGTTTAGTGATACATTCATTAGCAGATGGATTAGCAATTGGTTCAGCATTTGCATTAAATCAATTACAATTAGAATTAATATTATTTTTAGCTATTATTTTACATAAAGTAAGATTTTATTTGTTCAAGTATTGAATTATTTATTTTTCTTCATTTAGTATAGTTTGTTTGAATCTTCCAAATGATGTTTAGGACCGTAACTGATCTTATTGACATACTGACGAGTCCAAAATAGGACGAAATGCGCGTCCTGGATTCCACTGCTAGCCACTATCCATCTTTACTTACAATGCTTGTGAAATAAGGCTATATCAAGGCAATACACACAGTATGCACATATCCCAATAAGAGACTGACCAGTTGCAGTCCTAAATATCAATGGGAAGATTCAAACAAACAATACTAAGTGAATTTAAACTTCACCCCATCGCACAAGCAAGTGGCTATCAGGACTCAGTGACCGAGTGGATAACGCGATGGTGTTTGAAGCGAAAGGTACTGGGATCGAGTCCCAGAGTGAACATCAACTCTGAGATTCAGGTACATCCAGCTGACGAGTCCCAAATAGGATGAAACGTGCGTCCTGGATTCCACTGCTAGCCACTATCCATCTCTCCTTACAATTTATGAATGATTGTTTTTTTTAATAGGAAATAAACCAGGCTAAAATATGTATTACTGGTTAGTTAGTGAATTCAGTTGTAGGGTATAATATTATGAATTGTAAAGGAGAATATGACTTACTTATTTATGCCTGTTACCTCTCGTGGAGGAGTATAAGCAGCTCATCAGTACTCTCCATCCAACTATTTCGTTTCTAGTTAACATTCATCCTTTTCTTATTTGCTTCCAATTCCCAACGTATTGTGTTCTTCGGCCATACTCTTTTCCGTTTCTCCTCAAGATTCCAAGTTAGCGCTTGCCTCATGATGACGTTTGGCAATTTCCGCAATATCTTATCCACATGGAACGTCTTTTCCTAATTTACTCTACCGCTGTAATTTTATTTATTTATTTATTTAAACACATAAATATTGTTACAAGAAAGCACCAGATACATATGCGCCACACAAATCTCATTTGATTTGTGTCAGGGCTGGGATACTGCTCAGGTGCCTAAACTGAAGAAGCTGGTTTCCTTGGTGGACCACACCCGGAGCCTTTGACCTAAAAGGTCTGATCCATAAGACAGTAAATCATTGTGAGAAGATGCAGTCATATGGTAGTCGGTGACCAACGATTCATTTATACGCCATTTGTTCCTTCAGGATACTGGAGCCCATGTGCACCATTGGTTTGGAATTAGGGTTTTCCAACTCCCCTAGTGGACTTTCAGTGTTCCCCAACCCAGTTAAAGCGCCGGACATTCGATTTTCGTCCTCCCAATTTCGTGAACTACAGTAATACCGAGAGAAGGCAGTGAGTAGGACTTCCCTGGCAGAAGTTATATATTCGTGTCCATGTGAGAGCATTTGGAGAGGGAGAGCGGACTCTCCCCACTCTCGGCCGTACCAGGGCATTTGTTGGCATAGTAAACATTTATGCTGTTGATTTGTAAATCAGAATAAACAAATTGTATTTAAAATGGAAACCAATTTTAAATAAATATGGAATCATTTAAAATCTTATCAATCTAAATATTGTTCGTCTGTTTTCTTTTTCTTTAGATACCAGCAGCTTTTGGTTTGTCATGCTTCCTATTACATGAAGGATTAACTCGTGATCGAATTCGTTTACATATGATTGCTTTCTCACTTTCTTCTCCATTCGCTTCATTTTTCACATATTTCTATCTGTCATTATCTTCAACATCAACTGATACTGTAAGTTTAATGATTTTGATAAATTATATTCTATCAGTAGGGCTTTTTTGTGGAGATTTTTAGTAATTTTATGGTTGAGATCAGTAGTCAATTAAAGCTAGACCACCATGGAAAACCTGGAAGCACTGGACAGCCGTTTCGTCCTGTTGTGGGACTTCTCAGCAGTGCGCATCCACGATCCCGCCTCGCGAGATTCGAACCCGAAACTTTTCAGTCTCGCGCGCGAGCGCTTAACCTCTAGTCTATCAATTGCTGCCTCCCACATTTACAGACACATTTGGCTAAATGTTGTATATAAACTCAGTATGCTTGAAATATAATGATTCATACGACAGGCTATTCTGGAGTTGACTGGCTGTGCTAGGCAGAAGCAGGACCGATAAGCACTTTAGAGCGCTCGTACGGTTTTTGTGTCACTGTTCCAATCGATAATTCTCTACTCTCTGATTGGCGTCTTATCACATCATACATTAACAGGGCATCTACTCGGTCACAAGTTATAACAGCAATCGACTGAGATGGTTGAGCCATGTGTTACGTATGCCTGAACACCGATTACCACGACGCGCTATGATGACTAGTATTGGGGACGGTTGGAGGAGAGTTAGGGGCGGCCAAACCAAAACATGGCAGTGTTTGAAGTCACTAACTTCTAGCCTGAGCCATGTTGGCAGATGCAGACTACCTGGTTGGGGTCCGCGTGACTATCGTAACCAATGGTTGGAGACTGTGGGTGGCATGGCTCAGAATCGGTCACAATGGCGTAGGTGTATACACTCTTTATCTTCCCTTAAACCTTGAGACTAAAATTGCTTCATATCTCTCTTCCTTCCTATACTATATCCTTATATACAACTTATAATTTATATACTACTACCACCACTACATTAATTACTTCTATGAATCCGGTGTTCCTCTTGTTGTGCTAACGAGGTATGGTAACTTGGACCGATGCATATATGTGCCTGGTCCTACGTTGTAGCTGACTGACTGACTGACTATAACAGCAATGATGTCAATGTCTATCTTCAACCAATCCACGAAATTGAGCAACCGTTCGCCATTTGTCTTCAGTGAGTTGATATCAAATAGTGGTTAGAGGTGGTCAACAGGAAACCCTGGATCCGGATTTCGTGCTACTTGGCACTTATCAGCAAGGTGTACCTGTAATCTTGAAGGAACTGGTGCTCCCTGATGGATTCGATCCCGTGTCACTCAGGTTCACAGTCAGAGACGTTACCACTGAGCTATTCGGGCCGCGACCGACCTCCTGTAGGACAGATGTAATCACAATAAATTGATCACTGGGTGGTGATCAATGTCATGCGTGTGAAGTCCTTCTTAGTGATGATCGAATGATATCGATCAAGTTGCAGTGGGCCACTAGTCTATGTGGCTCGTTACTGCATGCACTATGTTGAGATAAGATGGTGATTAGAGGTGGTGGACACGTATGACATTGATCACCACTCAGTGATCAATCAATTGTGAGTTGATATCTCAACAACAGACGTGGTTGAACTCGACTGGTCACTGCTTCTCACTTGAACTCCTTGAAATATCCCTTGAAATCAGTCACTAGTAAGCATATGATTAGTATCAGAAGGGGTGTTTTTTAACAAATTATTTTATATATTTTTAGTTTCTATGGTATTTCATACGTTTCATAATTATTTTCTACAATGTAATTACAATTAAATCTTTAATATTCATCATGCAATCATTAAATGATCATACTCAATTTGCATGTTTTTCTTTTATTAATTTTTCAATTCAATCTCCTGTTGGCCAAATAAACAATCATTCACACTTAAATCTTATATGAATGAGATGAATTACACTATATTATATTAGTACTGGCATAACCATAACATTGTTTGTATGTATATAGGTATAGGTATATAATAAATTAATACGAATCACATAGGGTTAGTTGTATTACATAATGATATTGTAATATAAGAAATGATTATGATAATAATGTCAAATAATGAATTCATTAATGAGATAAAAGAGATTATATAACTTTAATAAGTAAAATAATTATCCGTTGAAAGTGGAAAAAACAAGTGAAAATCTTCAATACGAACATCAAAACAGTCAGTTCTATTGTACGGATCTGAAACATGGAGAACTACTACATCTATCGTCAAGAAGGTACAAAGAGTTATAAACAGTTGTTTACGCAAAATATTCAACATTCACTGGCCAGATACTATCAGTAACAGCATTTTATGAGAGAGGAAAAACCAGCTTTCAGCTAAAGAGGAAATTACGAAAAGATATTGGAAGTGGATAGGATATGTATTGAGGAAATCGCCAAATGGCATAACGCGGCAAAGCTTAACTTGAAATCCGGAAGGGAAGCTGAAAAGAGGAATGCCAAACAACACATTACGCCGAGAACTGGAAGCAGATAAGAAAAGGATGAATGTTAACTGGAAGGAACTGGAAAGGATTGCTCAGGAGAGGGTTGGATGGAGAATGCTGATAGGCGGCTTATGCTCCTCCACGAGGAGTAACAGGCGTAAGTAAGTAAGAAAATTGAAAACATGTTGTTGTCAAGTAGTTGCCAGATTCTAGAAATATTTAATAAGAGAGTTCAGGAAATCTTTTAATAAAAGATCAGTTTTGTAACGATAATAAGTAGAAATCAAAGTTACATAAAAAAATTGGTGCGAAAAGAAAGAAAAAAAGTTTTTATCGAATATTTTGAAGGAATAGTATTCTAGTGAACAAGAATATGAGTGAGGAAAAACGGATGTATTTGGGCAGGAAATTAAAGAATATCTCACTGCTATCCCATGGCGGGAGTGTTGTTTACGAAATTGAGAGGACGACGTGCGAGTGTCCGGCTCTTTAACCGGGTCGGTGGACACGGCGAGTTCACCTAGGGGAGTTGGAAAACCCTAATTCCAAACCAATGGTGCACATGGGCTCCAGTATCCTGAAGGAACAAATGGCGTATAAATGAATCGTTGGTCACCGACTACCATATGACTGCATCTTCTCACAATGATTTACTGTCTTATGGATCAGACCTTTTAGGTCAAAGGCTCCGGGTGTGGTCCACCAAGGAAACCAGCTTCTTCAGTTTAGGCACCTGAGCAGTATCCCAGCCCTGACACAAATCAAATGAGATTTGTGTGGCGCATATGTATCTGGTGCTTTCTTGTAACAATATTTATGTGTTTAAATAAATAAATAAAACAGTGAAATATGAGAATCATATAGTTAATAGTTAATATGCAAACTATCAATCAATTGTCTCAATCTTGATTGTTCCTTCTGTAAATATCAATCCATCATCTCTGATTAGAATTGTTCATGCATTTTCATTCCATTCGCTTTTGATACGTGTTCTTTCTTCATTGATCTTCTATTGTAATACATTCAATGCCCGACTATCGTAATATACTACTTATGTGAATATAATTAACCCAATATTACAATATAAATCAAATTTGATTTATATAATCTACTCTTATATCAATAATTCGTATATATATATTTACATTTTAAAATATACTTCCTCTTCTTCTTCTTTCTTTTCTTAAAGGATATTAGTGAAGCTTCAACAAGAACAGGTTTAGCTCTTTTATTATCAGGTGGTACATTTCTCTATGTTGCGGCTACACATATTCTACCAGAATTAATTAATTCATCCAATACTGATAGTGGTAGTAATATTACTATGGATTTAAATACTGTAAATGATACTACAAATCCTAATTTATATTTATTCACTGATTCATTAAATAATAAATCAGGACATCATCATCATGTATCATCATCATCATCATCAGCTGCAGTAGCATCACCATTATCCAATTATGCATTATATACTGTAGATAATAGTCATGAATCCATTATCATGTATAATTATCCTAAATCAAATCTATACTTAAATTCAATGTCACATATTCATCGTTTAAGTATCATTGAAGTTTTTGTTTTAATTAGTGGTACAATAATACCAATTCTATTTTCAACAAATCATTCTCATTAAGTAATGGCAACTGGAACTGATGTACGTACATACATACGAAGTTCTACGTTGTGACTGACTAACTGACTGATATAAAATAACAATCTTTCTGTTTATCTATCACAATGAGGTGATTTTTGCAGGGATATTTTTAATTTTTCTATTGTTTTGTTTTTCTTGTATATCACATCATTTATGTAAGTTTTGCTTCTTTTTTTCCCTTCACCACTTTAATACTGTGATATAAATTATGTATGTACATACCCTCAATACTATGGGATTTGAATCGACAGCTGTATCTCTATGCTAATGTGGTATGGCAACTCGAACGTATGAAGTTCTACGTTGTGACTGACTGATTGACTGACACTAAATACATACTACTCTTATTGTTGTCTTCTAAATAATTCAATTCTATTGTAAAGAATATTAGCATAAACAATTAATGTATATTTATAACTGTTTATGTGTAGATAGATTACAATGAACTCTTCTAGTTGTCTATGGAATTATTGTATCTTATTTCTGAAACCTCATTAAGATTTGGAATAGTTCATCAAATAGTAATAATAGTAATGGATCACGAGTATCTTGTTGTTGTTTGTTTTTTACTTGGGAAAAGTGCATTTTTTCAAAAAATTTAGTTGGTTTTCATAAAATAGGTTAAATAAATATGGTCAGGAAACTGTCGCAAATAGACTCAGTTTATAAAGAGTGTATACACCAATGGCGTAGGTGCATATACTCTTTATCTTCCCACATATATCAGTTGAGTGGAACTCATCACTATACGTCAACTTCATTGACTATGAGAAGGCGTTTGACAGCTTGGATAGGAGAACATTATGGAAACTTCTTCGACACTATGGATTTCCTGAAAAGATTGTCAACATTATCCAAAACTCATACAATGGACTAAATTGCAAATTCATGCATGGAGGACAGCTGACAGATGCATTTCCAGTAAGGACCGGAGTCAGACAAGGCTTTCTACTCTCTTCATTCCCCTTCCTTCTGGTGATTGACTGGATTATGAAGAATTCGACATCTGACGGGAAATACGGAATATAATGGACAGCTCAGAATCAATTAGATGATTTGGACTTCGCAGATGACCTAGCCCTCCTCTCTCATACACACGAACAAATGCAGATGAAGACCGCAAATGTATCAGCAGCCTCCGCATCGATAGGCCTCCACATTCACAAAGGAAAAAGCAAGATTCTCAAATGCGACACGGAGAACACCGACCCAATCACACTTGATGGCGAAACTCTGGAAGAGGTGGAAACATTCACGTACCTATGTAGCAGCATCATTGATAAACAAGGAGGATCTGATGCAGATGTAAAGGTATGGAGTGGCAAAGCAAGGGCAGCATTTCTACAATTGAAGAACATATGGGACTCAAGACAACTCTCAACCAATTTCAAGGTGAGAATCTTTAATACGAACGTCAAGACATTCCTACTGTATGGAGCTGAAACGTGGAGAACTACTACGGCCATCATCAGGAAGGTACAAGTATTTATAAACAGTTGTCTTCGCAAAATACTCAACATCGATTGGCCGGATACTATCAGCAACAGCGTTTTATGGGAGAGGACAAACCAGCTTTCAACTGAAGAGTAAATTAGGAAAAGACGTTGGAAGTGGATCGGACATACATTAAGGAAATCACCAATGTGCATGACGACTCAATCCCTAACTTGGAATGGTGAAGGGAAGCGGAAAAGAGGAAGGCCAAAGAACACACTACGCTGGGAAATAGGAGCAGATATGAAAAGGATGAATGTTAACTGGAAAAAAGGCTCAGGACAGAGTTGGATGGAGAATGCTGGTGAGCGGCCTGTGCCCCTCGACGAAGGTTAACAGGCATAAGGAAGTAAGTAATGTCAAGTGGGATTTCACGAACCAGCGGTATTGATGCCAACTTATTTATTCGAAATACCTGTTTAAATCGTGTTTAGAACGCTGAATTTGTTCCGCTTCCTAACGAGTAATCCTATTACAAACAAACTAGACAATTGTTTGAAAACGAAGCCCACTCCATACCCTATAAAATCTAAAAACAAAAAAGAGTTCAAATAGCTTTGAAAAAAGAAAGACAGCCATTTGTATCGAAATACTGTTTTCAGCACTTTATTTTATAATTACACATAATTCTATACTTCTTTCTGAACTACCTTCATTTGTACAGTTCCTTATCCACTCATAACTTGTTCACACTTATTTTCTTTAACATCTTAGAATGCTCTTGCTTATTAAGTACCTTAATAACGGAGAAATAGATTAAGTAGTTATACCTTAACTATTCCTCCATGAACATTGTCGGCTCCGCTCCCCTTTTCAGCCCTCCGGGAGATACCCCACCGAAAGCAGATATGGAACGGGTGACTTCGTCCTGCGCCATTATTAAAGCCTCAGATATTCTGGAGGGATATAAGGTCGAAGCTTCTAAAAGCCCAACAACTTCGCATGCATCTATTCTCGACCATCAGCTGTATGCTGCAACGCTGCCTTCATAAAGTGCTCCAATTGTGGTATTGACAATGCGTTTCTTACTAAAACCATCTATAATATGATATATTCTGAAAATAATGTTTACAGAATTCACACCAGTTTACAGGCATGATCAGATTGTTATAAAAATCAACATTTAATGTAGAGAGCAAACATGAAATATAAGAAAGTTTTATGTTTGCTGGTTTAGTAATTGATAAATAGTTTAAATATGGCATATGTCACGGCAAGCCAATGCAACACCAGGGAACTTGTCATTTTTTCATCAAGTGGATAGCCTGATGATTGACCAACATTATTCTGTAAGGTTGTTACCAGTGCCAGAGCGAGTTATTATTAATTATCTACAACTAGAGAAAGTAAGATTAAAGCAAAGAGCACGGAACAACAAAACAATAATAACAAGTAAGAGGTTAAACATTTAAAGTTCCGATAATCTCACTTGTGGAGTAAGATACACTTACAGGCGCTAGAGCATTTAATGCATTTTCAGAGGAGCAAAAGGCATTAATTGAGCGAACAAACAATGGGAGAGAGTTTAACATACGGATAGTTTGAGGTAAATTATTCCAGAGTCTAGAAAACTTACAGGTAAAGAAATTAGTATGTAGAGAATATCTGGATTATGTTTGTTTCGCTAAAGACAAGGAGTTACGAATGTCGTAATGTGAAGCTTCAGCATATTGAATCGCCTGGTTGGATGCAAAGGATAGTTTGTTAAGTATTTTGAAAAAGAAGATAAGGTTAAGTTTGAGTCTCCTCTTCCATAAAGGGTCAAGCCCTAGTTTACTACACCTCGAATTATATGTTAAGACACTATCAGTTCCAAGAATACGAAGTGTAAATCGTATCTGTACTGATTCCAGTCTTAATTTATCCTTTATGCGCGTGCTACTAAGGAGAAACGCGCAGTATTCAAGGAGTGGTCGAACACAGACTTTGTACATTAATATACGAGATTCGCTGTTATGAATGTTCCGAGTTATGTAACCTATAAGGCGTTGAGACTTGGAAGTTTGTTTCATTATCTGTTCAGTAAACATCAAGTCGTAGGAGTACCTAAGTCCTAGATCTATTACTGTGTGTAACCTAGATAACACCACCATTTATGGTAAGATTGAGGTTGAGTGATGTATCACCGAAGCATAACCAACCACATTGAGCTCCAGTTGCCATTTCGAGCACCACTGTGCTACATTGTTAAGCTCCGAGCTGATACAATTTTGAATATTGCTCAGTTCATGTGGAGAACACCTTAAGATCGTCTGCAAACAGAAGGGACTTACCCACACAATGACACTCACAAATATCATTAATGAAAACTAAAAAGAGCAAAGGACCTAAGACACTACCCTGAATTACCCCACTTCTAACAGGGACGGCATTCGACAATGAAGAGTTGATTTTAACTATTTGATGTCGATTGCTGAGGAAGGAATCAAACCAGGCTAGTAACGGGTTTTGGACCCCATAAGATGCGAGTTTACCTATGAGAAGTTAGTGGTTGACCATGTCGAAGGCCTTAGAAATGTCCAGGTATAGCACTGGTACTAGATATCCTTGGCTACGAAGCGAATAGACTAAATTAAAGAAGTCAAAATGTCATGTCATACAAGATCGCTTGAAGATAAAGTCAAAGCCATCACCAGCTATCCAGAACCAACCTCAGTAAAATCACTGCGTCGTTTCCTTGGAACATGTAATTTTTATCGACGATTTCTACCAAATTGTGCCGATGTACTACAGCCATTGACAGATTTACTGAAAAGCGATAAATCAGGTGCCAAGAAAGAAAACCAAATATTCAAGCTACCTGCCGACGCCAAAGTAGCATTTGAGAAAGCTAAATCCATGATTGCTAATGCTACCATGCTCCAACACCTGAATACTGACCCCACAACACTGTTGATCCTATGCGCGGATGCTTCACAAAAAGCCGTCGGGGCAGTATTACAACAGCGGGTAAACAACACGATTACCCCATTGCCTTTTTCTCCAAGAGATTATCGCCAACACAAGAACGTTATAGTACTTTTGGACGTGAACTCTTAGCTATATATTTAGCAGTAAAACATTTCAACTTTTTGCTACAGGGTCGTGATTTCATCATTATGACAGACCACAAACCCCTTTGCCATTCTTTTAGCACATTGTATGATAAACATTCCCCACGAGAAGCACGACAACTTGATTATATCTCCCAATTTACCACAGACATCAGTTTATCAAAGGTCATACGAACATTGTTGCAGATGCACTATCTAGGAGGGATATCAATACGATGGCACTCAATCAGGACATCAGCCTTGAAACCTTGGCTAAGTTACAAGCAGACGATGCAGAATTAAAAGCCTGCAAAGAAAAGTCTAGCTTAGATCTCAAACCAGTACCAATTCCTCTTTCGGATGCATTTATCATGTGTGACACTTCAACAAGCAACAATCGTCCGTTTGTCCCACACGCTTGCAGACGAAAAATATTTCAGCACTTGCACGGTCTTTCACATCCAGGCATCAGAGCAACAACAGAGCTCATTACTGAACGTTTTGTGTGGCCTAAAATCAACTCGGATGTTAAACGTTGGACACGTAACTGTCTCCAGTGCCAACGCAGTAAGACGCAAAAACACACCTGCAGTCCAATAGGGAAGTTCCCTATCCCTGACAAACGCTTCCAGCACGTGCATTTAGATTTAGTTGGGCCTCTGCCACCCTCAAACTCTTTCACTCATATCCTCACCGCAATAGATAGGTTCACAAGATGGGCCATAGCATGCCCCATTAAAGACACATCAGCAGAAACAGTCGCTTCAGTCTTCCTTGACCGCTGGATAACTAACTATGGAGTACCATCAATAATCACAACAGACCGCGGTCCCCAATTTCAATCTGTCTTTTTCCAGGAGTTCACTAAACTTCCAGGGGTCAACCATATTAAAACCACAGCTTACCACCCAGCAGCTAATGGCATGGTTGAAAGATTCCATCGCCAATTGAAAAGCTCACTGATGGCGCAAGCTGACTCATCAAAGTGGAGCGATGCCTTACCGCTTGTACTCCTCGGTATTCGTTCAACCATAAAGGAAGACATTGGATGTACAGCCGCCGAGTGAGTCTATAGTACAACTCTAACGTTACCCGGCCAACTAGTCAACTATGAACCTACAACGCACGGCGATTCTACTCACTTCGCAAGTCGCCTATTACAAATGATGCAGAACATTAGAGCAATACCACCTCGAGAATACAACAACCCAGTCCATCTC